GTTCGATGCAAAATTCGAACTTTTGTACTTCAACAACAATTTTTACAATTGTAATCAAAATTGGAGACAGAGAAAAATAGGTTCCCTAATTTTTAGATGCAAGGATATCTTACAGATGCTTATATTTATTTTGTTTGATTTTCAATCTGCGCTAATCCTCCTACCCTATACACCCCAAAATAATAATTGGCACCAAAACATCAATTAAAACCCGTCAGATGGCCAGCTGTTATTCAAAATAGGTTAGGCATGTAATAGTTTTTTTATCAAATCGTATTGCTCATTTTATGCTAAGTAGCTAGTTCTGCAATGTATTTGCTTTTTCGAAACAGCCTTTCATAGGTGTTTCATGTAATGCTCTCTGAATTATTTTCGTATTTCATCACAATTCTATTTTGTGAGACTTTTGTTTCATACAGAAAGGCATTCCGCGTTTTGGGATATTCCGCTATTTCACTTCTTAAGACGGGTTTGGGGATATTCCGCCATTCAACTATTCCGCCGTTCTACCGTTCACGGTTCCAGCGTTCTATCATTCCATTGAATAGGGTCACCCTGTAATTTAGCGGCTCTTTTGGGCATATGTCGCTCATTGAAACGGTAAAATGTTCTCTTTTCAAAGTTTCCATGATAAGCAGATCACACCTATTGATATATTTCTGCACGGTAAATATGAGACTCACGAGAGTCAGATAGCTTTGCTACCCTCTACACGGTTTCCATTATGAGCCCAAGCAACTTCGACATGCGCAGTAAAATGTACAGATGCTTTTTAGGCTCTCTCCCCGTTATGAGGCTCACAGGAGTCAGACAAGTTCTGAGCCTGCACTTCAACGTACAGTCCTCATCATTAGGTCGCCCTCTTCTTCTCCAGGGTTTGTCCCTCCCAGAAGATCGTCAAAAGTTCGGTTTTTTCATGTGAAATTGACCTCCTAATGGACTCTGTAACATTTACTCTCAATGCAAAGAGATATGACTAAAGGTTTTTAAAGTTAGCTCAGTATTCGTTAGAATTCAGGAAGAGAGGCAATTTTTGATCCATTAGGGTTTTTTTTCCCCAAAACTCTAATTTTCCATAAAAAGGAATGACCGTGATGACAAATAATCTGAAGCTGAAGCAGAAGCAGAACTAGTTTCCATTGCTTTCTTGATAATATTTATTTGTAATATTAGATGTCAAGTAGATTTTACTTTTTCTTTTTCCATCTCATATTGATTGGAAACCTCTCTATTTTACACGAAGAGTGTATAACTTTAATAACCGCAAACTGTACACAATACAACCGAAATCCTTAAGTCAGAGTTCAAAAGACGGTTTGAACCGTTGAACAAAGTTTCTCTTGCTATAAGGTAAACTAACGTAAATGTACTAAATGAATATTATTTACAAGTTTTGGGAAACAACTGGATTTAACGTATCCTATAGAGATCGCAGTAAATCATCTCGGTAAATACGTTGTCCTTTTTCATGTGCAGCTGAAAATAGATAAACGAGGAAAAAAGGAAAAATCGTAATACTCTCTTCTATTTATTAACTGAATTTCACTGAGTGCTACTTCAAACATTTTAGATGCAATAAAGCGATGTTCGTGAGAGCTTGACTGTTATTTTCGATATGATATGCTAAATGCACGAGTTTACAAAAAGGTTTGACCTTACAAGTTAGAAAACAAAAACAGCGATTAAAAATGTGGGAAACCAACTGTTGGCATGGGAAACAAATTTGATTCCTCGAATAATCCTGAACAGTGTGCAAAAAATTGGGGCGACAACTATGTCAGGGCAGCTCTATTAGTAGAGAAACAGCCGAGGAGGTTCTTAAGACCTTGACGATAATTACCGCTGAATATGAAACAGATACAAGGGTTTACAGCGCAGTATGATCGAACCAGAAAAAAGGCAATATGCGCAGAGTATTGGAAGGCACAAGATGACATCATGGCGCTGTCTGATGAAAACAAGAATAAGAAGAAAATGATACTGGATGACAGCCAGCATACTGCAAAAACGAACACGATGGCAACGGACATCTTCAGAGCATTTCTTTCTCTCTTCAAGCGCTGTTTTCTTGCGTTTACTGAAGGCTCCCCTGGAATCTTCTGCGATTTAATTCTTATGGCAATGGAAAAGTAAAGTATAGCAATCAAAACCAAAGGGACATAGATGAATATAATGATCGTTACCAGAATGTAGTCTTTAAACGATGAGAACTCTTCAAATGTGCCCTTCCACTCCTGGTGACAAACCGGCCCTTCTAGATACTCGACAAATTCCCACGTAAACAATAATGGGCCAAAGACTACCACGGCGACGATCCAAATGACGAGAATGAAGAGCCTGCATTGCTTTGAACTGATCAGTGACGAACGGAGAGGAAATACCACAGCTACAAATCGATCCACTGCTATCAGAACCAGGCTCTGAATGGACACAGCACTGGAGACGTCAGTAGCGAAGCAACTCAGTTTACAAAACGCTTGGCCAAGTGGACTGCTGAGCAGCCAGTGGCTGGCTGTGTTTAACCTTACAAAAAGTAGAGGAAAACGGATAATCGGGTACAACAGATCGGAGATTGCCATGTTTACAATCAAAATGTTGATTGGTGTTCTCAGAGCTTTCTCCTTGTAGACAATAATTCCAATGAGGATATTTCCAGCCAGCGACACAACAAGTAGCAGACAGTAGGCAAAGGTTTCACCAATTCTTATCGCTGTGGGGTTGAAGCAGCTCGACATGGACTGTGTTCCATTCATCGTTGCTGTCACGTTTGCTGACATATTGCGGTGCCAGGAGATTAGTTTTGTTTTGAGCCAGCAGCTCTGCGAAGGCCACATATATTTTACCAAAGCCGGAAAAAACATAGGTTATGAATCATCTATCTATATAAATAAAACATGCTTAATTATTAAACATGCCTAAAAATTTGAGAAAATTGGCAGTCTACACCCAAAACTTTCTCCAACTGAGATAACCAGAGTCGGAGTTTAATCAGCTTTCGTTCGGAGTTATATTATCGAGATACTTTTCCAATTCAGAGTATGGTTGGAGAAAAAAGGACAATTTTCGACAGTTCTAGGTTGTTTCTATTATTGAAATTATTATTATAACTATTGACGTAATGACGAGAAAAAGACTCCAGAAATATCCAGCAACAGATGTTTACTGACAATGATCACGTATTAACGATTCGCAGTTCAAAGAGAATAAGTGGGCGTTAAAGCTAACAACAATATTGTTTAATGTTCTGTGCTCCGTCGATATGTCAATTAGGCATTCCTTATCTCATCAATACCATCTAAGAAATGGGTCAGAAAGTTTCAGAAAACTTAGGTGATCGTCTCCGAACAGAATTACTCAGCTGCTGAAGTCAGTGGGAGAAAGCCAGATAAAGCCTCCGCAATGTCTAAGGGAGGACAGTTGGTTCACTTGCACGTGATCATACCGTATAAATGATATTTACAGCGCCTTTATCATCAAGCTTCTCATTCAGTAAATAAGTTATCAAATTCGAGATCGTTTTTGCGCAGAAGAAAAAGAATAAATAAAACAAAGGCAGATCCAGGACATTTTGACAGGGAGATCGAAAATAACTTCAGACCTTCATATTCCGCGCTTCCATGCTTTAGAGCATCGGACGGCGGAATCCGATGGTGTGAGGTTCGATTCCTCATGGGGACTCCGAATGTTTTCTTTGTCCCACGCTCGTGACAAGACGAAAAACATCTTTCGTTCTCTATTTCCTTACCGGGCTCAAAACTTACCGTCTCTCATATTCTATTTACAAATAATAATAATGTATTGAAAGGCAATCAACACCATAGGCATATAGTAAAGTGCTTTTATATTTGCCACGACGTAGTCTAAGAATTCAGAAGTATCTCTAAAGACATTTCCCCAGTGAGGCTCACACTCTATCACTGCTGTGGGATACTGAACAAGTTCATTAGCGATAAAGAAAGGGGACTAGATGGCCATGGCGATAATCCAAGTACCCAGGATGAATAAGGAACACCGCTTTGAGTTGACGAACGGAGAATGGAAGGGATACACCACAGCATGATATCGGCCAGGCTCTGAATTGACATAGCAGCGGAAACTTCCAAGAGAAATACACCAACTTACACAGGACAGAAGCTCCAATTTGTTTTGTTTTGTTTTTGCTCTCTTTGGTCGAGGGAAAGAAACCACTGTTTTTCTCGTGTAAATATTACCCACGCAAAATAAAATTGTCTCTACATTTAGGCCGGTTTGTAAGGGGCATGGATCTTTGAATATCCGCATCATATGACTTTGTACTGTGTGCCGTTTTTAATCCATTTTATCATTCATAACGACCAGTCTTTTCACAGGCTAAGAAAATATTCGATGGGAAATTTTGGAGAATTTGTTATCTTACATGCACTAGTTTAATTTGCGTCTGTCTAAAAAACCACAAAAGTAAGGGAAACGAAATTTTGTCCGAAATAGGCTAGTAGCTGTCAGCTGTTAAAACTGATATTCCATAATCATAGCGCTATCTGCATCAAACGGCGTCTTGAATATTCTCCCAATTGGTAGAAGCCGTAACCAGCGATAATTTGAAGTCGTTTTTCTCGTCAATTTACTTTGCGGAGTTATATGTGATGAACTTATTTCAAGGCGATTATTAAAGGCGATTATTAAATGTCCAGTGCGTCAAAATTCTTGACGCTTCGGAACGTAGAAATCAATAAATGTCAAGTGAATCCAGTATTATTACCGTCGTTGCTAACAACTGGAATTTGGAAAAACTTAGAAGAACATTAAAGGGATCAGGAGAAAAAATTTTTCTTTTAGAAATATTTTTCAGAGTAAACCTACCGAAAAAGATTTGGTTGAAATGTGATGTTTTGAGGAGACGAAGAGAGGAAGCTTGGGTACTAGCAAAGTAAATATCACGTGATGTTTTGGCGCGGAATTTATAAAAACCATTGTACTTCGTTGCTGGCAAAGTTGAAGGAAAATAATTGTCGCTTTTAAACATGGAAGAAAAACACCCACCTGAGCTCATTCGGTTTAAAAAACCTTCAGGAGTTATAAAATTGAAGATAAAAAAGAAGAAGTTGACTCAAAACCCATCAAAACGGATTTCAAACGCCTTGAAACCTATCAATGGACGAATTCAAGATGGACGCTCACAGGCGTTAAAGCGAGCGAATCCGTTTAAGTGTTCTCCGAGGAAAAAGGCGAATCTCTCCGCAGAAGAGAAAACTACAGAATGCAGGCTGTTTAGTGCCCTCGATGGACTGGACGAGAATCAGGAAAATAGATCCACAAACACTGTTCATGAAACAAGTAATAACTCACAACAGCAAAATACTGGCAATAGCCTGGAAACTGACGTTGCTGATTCTCCACTAACTGTGGCTAAAGGGAAAATCGGCGAGAATGATGGTTCAGAATTTTTTCCTTTAGACTGGAGCTTAAAAACTAAAGTAAGATTTTCTTCTTCCAAGACGTTTAATTGGTGTGGGACATTGAAGACATTTGACGAAGGTGCTGGTATGTCACATTTTGTTCGTTGCCAAACAAAGGAAATCGATTCAAATGGAAACGGTGCTTCTCATCCTGAATCATTTTGTTCCTTTACCAAAGTTTGGATGCACCCTTCTCTACCGTGGCTTGAACTTTTTCCACGTAAATCAGCCGATGGTAGAACTAGTTCGAAAAGACATTTTCTAATATTGGAAGAAATGGCATCTTCTCTTCACCATGACTGGGTGTCCAGTTTTCGCTCCGTCTTCAACATGGTGCGCGTTGGTTTTTGTCCTTACTTTTATCTAGTTGCAAATCAGAACACTATGCTTTTTCAGGCAGCTGGAATAAACAGGGATGATGCAGTTCAAGTGGTTATAACACCCACGACCAAAGGTTTCCGGGATGCATTGAGGAGTGAAGGTAAATCTACATCACTGTACAGGTTTATGAATAAAGGGAGAAACTTTCTAAAGAAACTGTGATGCTGCGATATCCCTCTGACAAAGGGCTACAACTCAAAACGTCAGCTTTTAAACTCTTTAAGATGACCAATTTATGTTATCAACTCAGTTGATAATACTTAATTACACTGTACAGATTAGTTTCATGGGTGCAATAATCATTGTAGAAATAGTTCATCGAAAACCTTTACCAGACACTTATAACCTTGAGCTGGTAACCTTGTACCTTTATATATAGGTAACCAAGGTGATTTTATTCAAGATGAGACAATGATCCAATGAAAACAGCTGTTAGCAGTGGGATGATATAATATATAATTAAGTCTGGTCCCCATGGAAATAGTTTGTTTTGTTTTCCTGAGATTCCTGATGTTTCCCTCAACTTTGTCTTGGGAAACATCAGAACTCTCAAGAAAACAAAACTAACTAGTTTCCCAAGGGACCATACATTAGGTGCTTTGTTCTATATTTGGACTTTCTCTTAAACAATCATATGGGAAAAACATGCTGTTGTACATGTATTCAGCATGCTTGCAACAACTGCATAATTGTGTTCTGGTCAGGATTTTGATCAGGGGCATGTGACCAAGATCAACCAATCACAGTGCTTGTTTTGTTGAGTGAAAGTCCAGGAATATAACAATGTGATTTGAGCTCCAGAATAAATTTGTATGTATGCTTACATGTACTGACCACTACAGACAAGAAATGCTCCCAGGATGCCACTGGTTTTGAGTAAAATAACTGAGCTGCTGCAACCACTTGTTTAGAGAAGAATTTGTAAACATGATTGTAACATTTTAGATTTATTGTGTTTTTACAAATTTATATTCAATTACAGCAATTGAAGACTTTTCCTTGTTCACATAACCAATTGAACACCCATGGTTTGGGAAAACTCACCAAAATTATGCAAACAGTTAATGCATCATGGTTTAAGTAACACAATCTTGAGTTTTCCCAACGTGCCCTGTGTTCACCTGATTTAAAGTGATTACAGGGCTAGCCCTCTAGTACTTGTGTTCATCTGGTTTCTTTTTTCAGGATATATTGAATAAAATCTACCTTGAAATTACCCAATCACTTAATCAGTAATTTTACCCTTCTAATTTTCTTCATAATAACAATATTATATTATCACATACCAGGAATTAACTTTACCATGCCGCACTTGGAGGTCAAAGGAAAGAAAGAGTCTGGGCCTGAATCTCAGGATGAGGACTCAGACGAAGAGGAAGATGCTGAGCTTGGGAATGATTCTGATGATGAGAGTATTGACAAGTGTGAGTGGCTAGAAAGCATGGGACTTGATAAGGAACAGTTTCCACTGTTAAACCCCAAAGTTGTTACACCACATCAGAGGAACAATCTAAGAAGCTTAGATCAACAACCAACTTCTACAGTGTTAGTGAGAGGAGTTGATACTCTTGCATTGTTTAACTTCCTACTCAACTGTAAAAGTTTAACAGCCAACACTGGACCACAAGCTCAGGTGCCACCAACACTGCTGGCCCCTGTTGCATTTGAAGGAGCCACTTTAAAGGGTCTGAAGGTAAACCAAGGGACCATGAAGCATCAAAAAGCTAAGGCTATGGCACAGGTATAGGATACATTTGATTGATTTTCAATATTTCTTGACCTTATTCTTTACAGATGCTCTACCATCATGATAAGATCAATGATAATTCTTGCAACAATAAGGTAAAGGTTATGCTTTCTCTGGAGACTATTGGCCAAAACAGTAACATGTAACACAGTTTATTCTTGTTCCACTATTATGAAGCTACTAACAGTATTGCATAGTGATCCCCCTCCCCTCCGATGTTTTGCTAGGTTTACCTGAAAATTTTATGTTGCCAATTTAAACTAAGTGGAAAGAGGAGAAGTATCTTACCTGAAAAACGCATTCTATGACAATAACTGTTGTTTATGATGTCACTGGCAGTGCCTTTGGTCAATATGAAGTGAATCCTGTTCTTTGATTGGCTACCCCAACAGGCAAGATGGGCCTCTCTTGCCTGCTTGGGATTTCCCACTTTGATCCTGTGCGAAAATACATTGCATGGAAGGAACTTAAAATTTTTTTTTTCAATTTTTGGACAGTGTGGGCAATGGAGTTGCAAAAAGGTGCAGAAGACAAGAAAAACAAAGAAAATATAAACTACTCTCATGGGTTTATTGTGCACAAAAAAAGAACTTGGTCAATATGTAGCCATCTTAATCAAACAAGCTTGGTCAATAACGCACATTTATTTCCAGCACTTCAGATGATTTGTTTAGTTTACTGTGAATTTTCATTGGTTCCTTAAGATGTTTTCATTGCTGTAATTGGTGACTATGATTACTAACTAGGTTTTGGGTTTTTAAACTCTTAAATGAAGGGTGTTCTAATTGTGATGATATCCTTTTAGTTATACAGCCTGGAGATTTCTGGTCCAATCCTTCCTGGCTGTCTGTATGAACTGTGTCATCTACTGAGGGAATCACAAGGAGGAGACTTCAAAGCCACCTTCTTTGTGCACCAACCATCAGTAGCATTTAATGTCCCAAGCATTAAAACAGAGGAAAACTATATTCAGAGTGGGTGTAATTTACAGCAAAGCATCTCACATGGACAGTGGAGACACTACCTGGAGGCAGAAAAACTTAAGGAAATGTGTTTAAAAGACCTTAGCTGCAAAGACAAACTTTTCTCTTGGACAACTTGAGTAAGACACTGCAGCCATTTAAATAATTTTTCCACTGCAAGTACAGTCGTTTGAATTTAAAATGCAGCTGGATCTTAATGCAATCGATATTTACAGGGCAGCAGAAGTGTACTTGGCTTAACTAGATTCTAAAGGGATCTGAATTTTATGAAGGGAGCCTTTCTAACATAACCAAGAAACAAATGTTTTAATTTTATTATTTATGGTTTATACAGACAATAAATTATGAGTATCCATCCACAGACATGAAAATCATATTTTTCCAAATGTACAGCTTGACATGAAATGTTGTATTATAATTGTAGGACTAATTAGAAATAAGAGGTACTTGTCTAATTGTTATCTAAAAATGGATAAATTGCTATCTGGCGCTTAAGTGTCATCAAAAGCTTGCTTTCCACCAGATGGAGATTTATTTGCTGCTTCAACAACCGGGGCCAAATCAATAAGGCCTCAATTTGCATATTTTATGATAAATAATAAAGTGTAACTGTCCATTCCACATTTTTTCTGTAAAGCAATCATGTATAACCAAAGGAGACTGTCACTTAAATAACCATATCTTCACAAACCACATCAGCATATGCATCAGTCATTTCTGCAAAATAAATACAAAACCCTCAGATTGGGAATGAAATCATTTGTTACCCTATAGTACTCATATCAGTCAAGGGCATATTAAGTATTCTGAGGACTCTTGATTGAATGCTTGCCATGCTACATGCTGTAATCAGTCATAAGGCTACTTAAGATTCCATATCACTTGAATACTCCATGCACTTGTACTTCAGTGTATTCAACACCGGCTGAGAGAATGTCAATACAACCAGAATTGTTTTAAAGTACAGAACAAAAACTTTTGCAAGTCTTTTTTCTCAAATGCCCGTGTTGCAAATTCTTGCTCAAAAAGTACTTTTCCCTTTTCCTTGAAGGTATTTCTGTCATCAAAACTTTTTTTCCACAACATCTGCCAATTATATTTCTGTCACCCAACAACTCAAATTGAAGTTAGCCTTTATGTGAACATTTAATAAAATAGACCTGAAACTTTTTAGGACAATTTATAATATCATATGACTCATACCTCCCTTTAATTTAATTAAAATATTAAAAAAAAAACCCTTATGAGGATGGGAAAAAGCTTTGTGGCCCTGCATGGTGCTAGCTGAAAGGAGAAAGGGATGGTTATAAATACATAAAATTGGTTTTAATGTAATAAGCAAAGCCTAAGGTCTGGATTAAGAGCCTACAACAAATAATAATAAAAAAATCAACCATACTTGAACACAGTTGAATGCTGATCCTTTCTTGGTTCCTGAGGAGGTTTGATGGAGGCCATGATTCTTCTTGCATAATCAGTGTGATGGATGCCAGCTTCTCTCAGAGCATTTTCAACCTTTAATCTTCTGTCTGCCGCCACCTAAAAGCAGCAACAAAGTTTCATGATTCCAGCTTCGACTGGCAATGAAACTTTCCATCTGGGATTGTTCTTTCAGGGTTATGTATCATAACTGAATTGGTTTATCACAGTGACTGACTAAATTTGTGGCACATAAAGATAAAAATGACATATTGAGTGCATTTAACCTTTTTTTCATCATATCCATGGACAGCAAAGAGAGGTTGTTGAAGGTCAAGTTCTTCCTCGTACATACTGGCCATACGTGCTTGGGATGCCTGGAAAATGGAAGAAACTAACATTGGTTCTAAGTACTGGCTTTTTTATTTTGTTGAAGTGACCCCTGTGGATGTTTTTGGGTCTGGATACAGGTTATGTGGTGTCTAGCTTTGATTCATGCAAACAAAGAGGGCTGAAAAGAATGAAAGATGATGGAGATTGGCACCTCGGGTAAGTTGTTGCTCCTAGGTGTTCAACCGATAACAAGAAATTAACAGGAGTTACAAGTTTCACATAAAGTAGTGTAATGGGGAAATGTTTGCTTCAAAATTACTGGCTTTATTCTGCTAAATCTTGCTACCAGAAGAAACAGCTATGACCATGGTTGTTAAATGCAATGACAGAGTTAGAAATGGATAACACACTGACAAAAACAGCTTTAAGTTACAACCCAAAGTACACATCAAATATTTGCAAATTGTTACATAATCTAACATTCACACATGCTACACTCACACCAGTGCCTCACATAGGACTCAGAATTGTTCTTTCTGACAAATTATTCACCTTTTCTTTCCTTTCCGACATGATTCATGCCTCTGGTAACCTTTTTTTCACCACTTACCTCTGTTTGTTTGTATAATCTCTCTGGATCGTCCTCTACATGAACTTGTACCTTAAGAAAAAAAATTAAAGATGACTTTTTACAATAATGGGAAATCTGTTTACCAAAAGATAATGTGAAGTCAAAAAAATGAAGTAAATAAAATTTGCCTTGTTCCAAACATGTGCTTTTGTAGCACAGAGGCCCAAGTGGCCCATGAGGGCCGGTGCTTAACTCCACTTTCCTTTGCATGAAGCTCTACCCATATCTGAGGATTTGCTGGCACAGGCTGTGAGAGTAAAGTGTCTTGCCTAGGAACACAACACTGACCCCAGCCAGGGCTTGACAAAGCCTGAGGCCACCACACCTTTTTTCAACTTCTTGCCTTTTTTTCAACTTCTGTTTTTTACAATTTCTTTAGTTTCACTTCACTTGTGAAGACCTTTTTTTCATTTTCATTCTAAAGTCACTGAATGAAACAACAGCACTACCACATGCCTGTGCTCTAAGTTTATCCAGACGTCGTTGTTTTTCATTTTCTTGTTCAATAGCCAACTCTCTGGCTTTTTGCTTTTCTTCTTCCTGCAGTTTTAACTGCTCCTTGCGATACTGTACTCTGGAAAGACATTAAGTCAGTCAGTGATAGGAATGTTCATTGCACACTTCTCTTGACCTTGTCTACAGGCTAACATATGTTACTGGTTTGGCAATTGGTATCTGTAGCAGAGATGTGAAGTACTGGACCAAATTTAAAAATACACTAATCTTTTACCAACCAATTCCTAAAAGTACAAGAACTTAAAATTACAAGAAAGTTTTCAGAGGTGAAGATCTCAACATAAGTTGTACATAAAAAGAAAAATGGCTGCTAATTGAAGTAAATTGTGTTCATATGCTTAAGTAAGCTATGTAGGTGAGTTTTAGAAGACCAAATTTTTGGTCTGCTAACCAGCTAATTCATAAGTATCAAACACTGGTAGATTTGAAGTTAAAAATGATTTAAATCATCATCATTTCTAAAAATATACAACAATAGAAACTGTACCTTTCTCTATCCCATGCAGCTTGCTCCGCCATTTTTTCTTGAAGCTCAGCCAGTCTTTTTCTTTCCTCTTGGGCTGAAAGCTCTCTTTCTCTCTCTTTCAAATCTTTAAATTCCTGGATCTGCAAGAAAGTTTTTGCTACATCATACAAGAAGTTTCCATCCCACAAAAATACTAAAATGATTACACACACATCTTGATTTACTTCACAACCTACTTCAAGGGGTGATTGTCGGTCACTGTCAAACAAACATGAGACTCACCAATAATTTTAGCTGGAATTGGGCATGGATTTCTTTGCATTTTGCAAAAGAGGGCTATTGGTAAAAAGCAGGTACCGCTGAGTACTAAGTAGCTGCCATATTTTGCAATACCTGAGGTAGCCTTAGCTTAAAAATCCTAACAATTTTACTGTTTGCTCAAGCGTGTTTGTCCATGGGGTATATACATATCTTATTAGATGTTTTGGTGTGTAGTATTGCTGAGCATTTTTAAAAGTTGTGCCATATTTTGACAAGCCTGTAGGGTGGGTAAAAATACGACAACAAGTAAAAATACGCAGTGATACTACTGCAAAGTTTTTCTGCAAAGTCTTTCTGCGCATTTCTCACAAGGTGGAAAAAGCAAAGCAGATAGAGAAGCATAAACAGGCTAAACAGGATTTTTTTACAGTACAAAATAACCAACTGTCTAAATAAACATACAATATCGCAGGATATTTGTATGTTATTTCTACTCTATTAGGTGCAGTTAGATAATAAAATTATATACAAGTAGGTGATGCAAGAATTAATCTGTTAATTGACAAAATAATATTTATTCAATATCTTTAAATCAGCTTCATCATACCTGCCTATGTTTTTTATCTCTGAGCTTTCTTTCCCTCTCTTCAGCAGCCCTTAGTTGTTCTTCCTCTTCCTCCTGCTGTTTTTCAGCAATAGCAGCTTGCAGCTTTAGTGCCTCAAGCTTCTGTTCACGGAATGCAAGTACCTGTTGAAGGTTGAACACAAAAGTTAGAAGTATTGGTAGTAAAGACTGAATTGTACCTGTGAGCCTAGAGTCTTTCTACATGCATCACTCCCCAAGACCACATGGCCAGATTGTTCTGCAGTATTTCTACACAAAATTCAAATGAAATTCCTAAGAACTTCCCAGGACCAACCTTCTTATAGAGTTCTTGACAGATGTGTTCCTGTTTCTTTCTTGTTTTGGCTTTCTCTGTGGCTTCCTCATAAGCTGTCCATGCATCAATAAATGTTACCTTAACTTTTATGAGTAAATCTTGTCTATCATGTGCCCAGGCACGAAGTGTGCTGGAAAACTGCTCTTGGTAAAATTTGTGTGCAACAAACCATTCTTCATGTTCAACCTAAAACATAATGTAACTTAAAAATTGACCTATTTCAGAATTGTGACTGAGTATCAAAAACATGTATTGAATTTATCATCAATGCCAAAATTTGATGGAAATGTTGTCATCTAGTAAAAAAAGAAAACCTCTTAGTACCAGCTGTGAGCGAGTCTTGTGTGAGATTTCCCTAAGCATCCTGTCAATATAGAGCATTCTTCTGTTTGGCATCTCAGGTGGGTACTGTTCCATTAGATGGACAAAGTGCAAATGATCATGCTTTGACCATCCTCCAGTGCTAGATCTGAAAGAAAAATAATTACACTGTCCTTAAATATCAATGCATCTCTTAATTCATATCTTTTTAATAATAACTAATAACTACATGTAGGTCCAGGGATTCCTGACTAAGGTCAATTGACATGTTTTTGCAGGTACCTCTCTCCATGCAGGAGTATTGTAAATGTGTTATCAGTGAGCTGTCATGAAACCTAGTAACCTAGTGAATACTGATGAGTGACCTACAAAGGCCTTACCAGTGCACCCAAGAGGAGAAACAGTACTCCTTGTCTCTCTATCAAAATGGGACAAGCTTTGTGAATTTGTTGAGACACTACTTCTTATAGACCAATATTAAAGTTCTGAATGGAATCATTTTGTTGACCGGTGATCCAGGAAACTGAGAAAAGGTAATCTCCAGGGCAAAATGAGCTATTGAATATCACGTAAAAAATACTTGAAGATTCACTGTGTTGTGTTCTTTAAGTTAGAATTATAAGAAGCTAATCTAGCTCTGAATCACAGCAGGAGGGTAGTTTAAAGGTCTGACAGAAGATCCAGGAAAAGAAAAGGTGGCCCTTAGATGAAGTGGCATTTCTGGTAAAAGTAATTTTACATGTAAATGTTAGTTAACCCTTTAGCTCCCATGAGTGACCAAGACAGACATTCTCCTTACAATATCAATACAATATCAACCAGACAAGTGATGAGAATAAAGAAAACTATCAATTTTAGGATAATTAGTTGATCCAGTACTAAATTCTCTGAACTAACATTATAAGAATTGTATCGTATTGCATTTTGTTGACCGGTGATCCAGGAAACTGAGAAAAGGTAATCTCCAGGGCAAAATGAGCTATTGAATATCACGTAAAAAATACTTGAAGATTCACTGTGTTGTGTTCTTTAAGTTAGAATTATAAGAAGCTAATCTAGCTCTGAATCACAGCAGGAGGGCAGTTTAAAGGTCTGACAGAAGATCCAGGAAAAGAAAAGGTGGCCCTTAGATGAAGTGGCATTTCTGGTAAAAGTAATTTTACATGTAAATGTTAGTTAACCCTTTAGCTCCCATGAGTGACCAAGACAGACATTCTCCTTACAATATCAACCAGACAAGTGATGAGAATAAAGAAAACTATCAATTTTAGGATAATTAGTTGATCCAGTACTAAATTCTCTGAACTAACATTATAAGAATCGTATGGTTTACAGTAAGGAGAAATCAAAGTTGGTTTGGGAATTAAAAGGTTAATATAAAACAAATTCAGGGACCAACACTACAATCAAGACACTAGTCAGAATCGAGAAGATTTCCAAATAAGACTTTTATTCCACAAGTGATAAGGAGGGAGGAGGTGTGGGAAGATTGTCCTTAACTTAAGGATTCATGGTACTTACTGTTTGACATTTTGATATTTCAGATTTAAGTACTCCAACTGAGCTTCATATTTCTTATCCAGAAGAAGGAACTCTTCCAAAACAGTATCCTTTAACTGTTCATCAGGACAGTCCAAATAAAATGCCTCATCAGGGATGCCTGTCTCTATACCAACATCAGACACCACTCCTAATCCTGTAATTTCATGCAATGATAAACTCTCCAGTTCTTGTTCAAGCTGTTCTTGTTCCATTTGAAGTTTGTCTATCACTATGCGCTGCTGCATTTTGACTGATTCCACAATTTTGAGCACATCTGCATGTTCTTTGTCAGCAACTCCTAGAAAGATTATCAAAAGCAGTATTAGAGATTAGGGTATCTGGGCAAGCTCAGCTTACTAAGTGTTTCTTTGCCACATGTTGGCAGCATTATTCTTCCTGAAAGAAATTATTACTCAGGGTTTAGCCATACCAATTTTAAAAGGCCAAATCTTGCATCTGCCAAATAAATAAATTAATTCACAATTTCCTACTGAGTGCCTATTTCATGTTGACCTTGAAGAGAGAACAAAATTTACATAATAAACCTGAAAGATAAATGAAACACTGAGCACAACTTCCAAGATTTTATGATAATTCTCCTATCTCGCTGCTACAGATCTCCTTATAAATTAGTTATCAGTATTTGGTGTTAGATCAAGATAAAAACTACTACCTGATAAGTTTGAATATCCTCATTACCTGTTTACTGGATAATGTCAGGATATTACCAGGAGAAGTTTCATGTTGATCACTTCTGGGAGTTAAAGGGTTAAAACATGACCATGTCAAGAGAACTTGCAAATTCTAAAATATTGATTAAATAATTAAGAAATTAAAGGTTCTGACTGACCCATCACAATTCTGTCTCTGTTCTCTCCAAGCCAGAACTGCAAGTCTTCTCTTAAATCCCATAATGGTTGAATAGTGCTTTTCTTAAACTCAGTGCTGTCTTCACTAAGCACTTCCTCATAGATTTCCAGATCTTGAAAGAACTCCTTAATTGAGCTGTAATCAAGAGGACTTCCAGGTCTCAATGCATCAATTTCACTTTGTAGTTTTCGCTGTAAACTATGAAGTCTTATTTTTTCTTTTGACCAACAGGCTTTGTGCTGCTGAATAAGATTCTGTTCCTTTTTCTCTTTGTTAGCTCTGGTTATCTTTTCTACTTTTTGAAAGGTTTTGTTTCCAGCAGCTTTCCTGAGCTGAGCGATGGCTTGAAGTTTGTCATAATCAGCTGGTCTATACTGATTACTACCATGTCCTTCTATAAAGCGGTTTACAAGTGAACTATCTGCAGAATCAGTAAAAATACCTGACTTCATATTTTAATACTTAGAAGAAAATTATCTTATCTCAGAACTTCAAGACTCGGCTTGTTACTTATATAACATAACACATTTTAAGGTTCTTTGCATCTTAATATGACACCTGTGCCATTTCGAAAACACTAAAAAAATTAACATTTTACAGTTGTAAAATAAATCAGTCGGTTAGTAAGCTTAAGTAGGTAAGTAAATAAAAATATTTATCGGGGGCTCATGATTGTATACAAAACATTAATAAAACAGTGAACTTCACACAAATAAATGTAATCAAATCAAAGTATACATTACAAAAGACTTAAAATATCCTCCAAACAATGAAATCATAAAAAACAATGTAAATATGCAGAGTGAAATAATTTCATTTAAAAGCTGCTGCTGATCTTTGGAAATCATTTAACAATTTTGTTATTTGATCCCTACCTGCGGCCCCGATGGCAGTTCTGTGGAAGTTCACAAACTTCCTAAGATCCCGTCCACTCATTAAAGTAAAAGTCAGGGACCTACATGATTAAATTTCTTGAAAAATCGCTCAGTGACAACCGTCTCTACTGTCAACAACATTTCTACGCGGGCGCCATTTTGAAACTCCAAATTGACCTCGTTTTCATTCTAACAAACCACCGACTTGCGTCTCGTTTTCATGCTATCCAAGATGGCGTCAAGTAGGCCTTCGAGCAGAAGTAAAAAACCAAAGCGTCCATCGAGCCCTGCCGTGGCTGCCGCTCCTCCAAGCAAGCGAAAAAGACCTTTAACTGTAAGTTAATCTATTTTTAAAACATTTAAATTCAGTTTTCTGATGTTTTCTTTTGCTCTAGCCCTGTGTAGCTGACGAGTTCGATTCAACATCAAGTAGTCCTTCATCATATAGTGCTGTCAGCGAGGCCAGTACCCAGCCAAACGGCCACTTTGTGTTCAAAGATTCTAATTTCGAAGTAAGTTTGGTTACTATACTATAATTTTTTTTGTAGTAAAAATAAGCGGTAATTTGTGTCTTCTCAAAGATGTATGTGATTGAAACATATGATTAATTTTGTTCATACTTCAGCACTCTGGTGTCAATGCAGGCAAGAAAAGGATATGGAAAAATTTAAAACAAATAATGACGTTAGAAAGGGGACTGCCATGGAAACAAGATGATCCAACATGTAAGTAGCCCAGCTTATGGTTATCATTTATTTTATCTCTCAGTCAGTTTATGCGCCATGATTGGTCAAGTTAGCCAGCAGTATTTCACAATTTGGCCCACAAATTTTTTTATTTTTTTAATTGAAATCTTTCCTCCTCTTCCATTTGAACTCAAAGATACAATAAATATTTTACTAATCTTATTTTCTTGGTCCATACCGTACGTTACAGAACTTTTCAGTCCAAACTATTTTACCTTAGGACCAGCAACAAATGATCTTCTAAGGAAAATAGGTATTAAAAATAACTACATGTGCACCTTTTGGGAAGCTGAATTAGAGAACCTAACTCACCTGTTTTGATTTTGTACCATTTAGAAAAAGTTTAAGTAATGGTTGGTAAATGACAAACACTTTGCAACACTACAGGATACAGACCTTATCAGAACTTATCCTTCATAATTGGTTTGAGACCTAATGCTTTCAAAAACAAAATTAATCCATCTCTATTTTTAGTTGTGAGATATTTGATCCAAATTTGTTGAATAGGAGATTGAGTCCCCAGTTCAGTGTTTTCTCTTCCTTTATAACCTCATTTTCAAATGTCTCACAAATTGCATCTTGAGCCTCTTCCCTCTGGCATTTTATGTTGAAACAGCCTACAGTAGATTAAAGTGAAAAGCCATTTAGTTGCATCCTCTTATTTTTTTTTTCCTTGTAAGGGATGTCCATATAGTATTGTCAATAATTTAAGTGTATCACAAAATAATAGTAATTATAATAATAATAATGAAAAAAGGAAGTTACAAATTCTCAGTTTTTTTACCTGGATTTATGGTCCCTCACACATTGTGCTGAAGGGCTCTAACTCTGAGCAGAAAAAAACTTGGTCCATAAGTTACAGTGCAGACCTCAAACTCAGTTAGTAAATGGTATCTCCTGAGCCTTAAGGTACACCAAGGGTTAAGCTGGATAGAATGTTAGGCATGACTTGGTTTTTCAGTAGTAATCTCATTTTGTATCTCCAGACAGCAGCATAGATGCCCCACCTTCATTCAAACCAGCCAAAAAATATGCTGACCTCTCTGGCTTACCAGTAAGTAGTATTTGAATGACATTCCCATTTTTTAGTATTTATTTGTAAATGGTCTTGATAGTTCATTGACGCCTTGTCATTGCGTCTGAACAAGTCAGATGCAAGAGATGATGAAATTTCAGATTTTGTTGACTTGAGTGAAAAGGAATCAGTGTAAAATTGTTTTTTGGCAGAGAAATACAATGTAGTTTTACACTGACAGAGTCTGATTGTGTGTTCTGTTTATGTTTTTCGTCATTTATGAAATGTAGGTTTAATTTAGCTAATCTAGCCTCTGACCTTGTGTTATGGTCTGTTTTAGTTTTTTTCTTCTGGATTGTTATTTTTTGTGTAAATTAGGAACAAACTTTTTGACAGATCAAGGTGACTGACTGTCCTGCAGGGAACTAGTTTTTGTTAACTATCCTCTTTAAGCACTAGAGCATTAACAAGGAGAAGAAACAATTATTTCAACTTAAACAGTTTTGCAGGTAGTTGTACAGAGTTGTACTTTTTCACATTCTGAATTCCTCACCTAAGGTGTTCAATTTTTTGGGATGTCCTAGTGTGTACATTATGTGTGGGGATTGTGACCAGTCTGTAGAGATCAGAGCTACAAAAATGTTAGGCTGCAAGGCATTTAAGATTTTTGTCAAGGATAAAAAATCAAATTCTTGTCCTTTTCAGGCTAAATACAAAGACCCGAGAACTGGAATACAATACAACAACTCCATGGAATTTGGTTCAATTCGTAGTTTGCCTATGGATATTGTCAGCGGGTATCTGACCTTGCGGAAAGCGGCACCTACATGAATTAAGTTAATTTTATATGGAATTTTGGATGTTAATTTATCATGTAAATAGTTGAAATAAAAAAAGAACTCAAGTTATTTCTGTGAAATAGTGTGTCTTTCCTTGAGTTGGTTTTTGATTTTGATGCATAAAAAACAAAGTGCTTAGTTTCAAGAAATTTTATTCAGCTTTCTTTCAAGCCCCACTTCCCCTTACCCTTTCGTCTTCCCTCTTCAAGGATGCAATGATGTCACATCACCTGTCACGCAATCCCGCGATAAACCTGGTAACAACATGGCAGGCGATGAGCAGCATGTAAACAAAGGCAAATTTTACCTGCGAGGCGAAGGTATGAACGATAAGTCGAGGGAACTTTACGAAAGAAACGCTTTGGGGAACATTGTCTCGCACCTATTTCCGGGGTATGGAGAGTTCTATGCGGTTCCGTGGACAGCCAAAAAAGAGATTTTCGAACTTTTGTCAGTGTTCGTCAAAAATGGTTGTGACACTTTTGAATACGTTGGAAGTTTACGTAAGAATGGGGGAATCTTGGCGGAAGAGACGAGTGACTTATTGCATGTTTTGAAGCCTCATATGCACAGTAGCTCAAAGAAAGAAGTAAACAGATATTTAACTGCGCTAAAGCAACCATTTTCGCGCCGTGTGAGTGAACTTTTTATTGATGACTTTGTTGGCCGTCCAGAGGGAAAGATTTTTGGCTGGATCGATTTAGGGACAACGCAGATTGAGTACGTGGACCCTGTTAAGCTTACTGCAAGAGTGAACAAGTCGAGAATTGATCAAGAGTGTTCGCAGCTTGCGGGGAAAACACACATATACGTAATTTGTAAGGTGGGGATAGCCATTGACTTACAGTGATTTTCCAGCTAATATTTTCTCATATGATATCTTCCGAATTATTAGCTCCATATGTTGGTGGTCTTTCCTAGGGGGCTCTGTATACTCTCCTAACCTTAAGATAAATAATAAAAAATATCCAATCCTGTGGTGTTGTTACATACAGTGTTGCCCTTAATAATAGTCAGAGAGGGATTCAAACCATGAGCAAACTTGAGTGGACCTACATGTGCCCGAGGCAAATGGTGGGTGTTAAATTAAACTGGCTCCCCAGGGTTTTTTTTTTTTAAAGGAGAGGATGATTGCAATCGGTTCAGCAGGGTGAAGAATGTAATCTGAAATGAAATCTTTAGTGAAAATGAAAGGATATGAAGTTTGGAATCTTCATGGTAATTGTGAAGAACAGCTCCTTGAAAAACCTGGTTGGCTGACAGGTTATAATTACCAAGTGACAATATACTCGGATACCTATGGGCCAACAAGTGTACTTAAAATTGTCGGCCAAAAAGTTTTTCAAGGGAGTTGTTCTTCACAATTACAGCCTTCTGGATGCACCCTTTGTGTTTTTTTAATCATTTTGTACATGCATTTATTAAGAACACCCTCATTATAGGAAAATTTTCCCCTTGGACAAACAAAACAAAGCAACTCTTTCTAAATATGCTTTTGTTTGGAGGTCTCTGTTCAAGATTTCCTAAAAGGCGAGATATTTTTTGGTTCTTTGTTATTATTAAATGTTAAGAGACTACTAACACATTTTAAACAACATACAAACAAAAAATTAGACTGATGTAAAATTTGTAAATGTATGGTTGCCTACCCTACCATTATGTAATCAGTGTGTAACCCAAATTAACAGAATTTTTCATTTCAACAGAATTTTACACTTTGTTTGTAGGTATGTGACTCTGAAAGACTCCATTACTATCCAGCTGTAGAATACAGATCAAATTCGTGGCTTGGTAATGATAAATCATTACTAGAAAACCAAATCAGACTTTGCACCAAGTCTTTGGATAGATGTTGTATTTCTCAGGATGTGAGAGGTCCAAGAGCATTAAGTGTCTGCCGCATCCCACTGACCTGTGGTGGGATACTTGGTATACCCATGTATGATGTCAAACTTACCTCAACGAACTGTTTTAGGACAGATTGGGAAGGAAAAACGTTTTTTGCTCAAGGTAAACTCGTTCATTGCTTACATTCTCAAAGGTGAAGGGCAGCCAAATGTAAATCAGTTTCTCATGCAGGCATTCTACAGCCCTAAATTGTGTCTACACAATTACCCATGAGACTGAGCTGTTTATCTGTTTGTGTTTGATACAATTTGGAAAAGCTGCAAATAGTGAGCAACATAATCTATAAACAGTGAAAAAGTGCCCTCTTAGCTCTTTCCTCCTGGCTAATATGATCAATTAGCTGGGATATGTGTTCCAATTAATTAAGACACATCTACCTTAGTTTGTATGCTGTTACAAGATGTGATGTTTCACTGAGCTGATCTTTCCTGTATGATATACACAGTATCTTGTTTCACCATTTACAATTAGGTCTTTTGCCTCACTGACGATTGTTTTCAACTGTCCATCCTTATAGGATGTTGACTGACTGCTGTCAGATCTGGCAGAACTTCTAAAGACCTGTATGCGAGCTTAAGATTTGCTGCACTGGACACAGTGCAGGTAGATTATAACATTCTTAGGACCTTGCGGGATATCATAAACTGCAATACAGAAAACTTTATAGCCAGTGAACACCTGGTACTGAATACTGAGCATAAAAACCAGCGACAGCATTTGGTAATCATTTAATTTACTTTTAAAGTCACTGGTTTTAATGAATCATTTGGTTTGTAGTGCTAATTTCTGTTTACATTTTACAGTCATACTGTGAGATTATTCTGGGAAACTTTACATTATTGAAACAGGGAACATATAACTAAAAAACTCATACACTTTCATGTGATACTTTAGAACTTGATTTTGAGTTTGTTAACTGGTTGACATCCCAAGTACAAGGCATGAGAACCAAACATTTCTGGCAGCCTGCACTGAGAAAGCTGTTTAGTTTTCCTGCGATAGATGATAGACAGGTGGCACTGGAGTTTTTGCTTGAAACCATGAAGAAATTTCAGGTAATCATTTATTATAATATTGTGTGTAGTATAGCTTGTAGAACAGGTGCTGGGATAGGTGGGTAAGATTGGGTCTCACTGACTTTCAGTGTTTATTGAGCAGGCTCTTAAACTTTTAACAATGAGGTAATGTGCACTAGTCGTGGAGAAGCTAACAACAGTCAGCAATGTCTCAAAATTAAAGCCTGGGCTTGGGTCATCATCAACAAAGTCATTTAAAAAGTTCCCTTCTCTTGTGAATGGATTTAGTTCTTGAAATGGATTGGTCAAATCAGCTGTCAGTGACGTTGTTTTTTTGTGACAGTCAATATGCTGGCTTATTATGCTGGCTTAATACTTTATCTTTTTGTGGTGAATACATAATTTGTGAGGTAAATAACTCATGCAAAAAGGTGTTTGGGTTATTTAATGTGGAGAGAACAAGGCAGCTTAAGTTGTGGACAGACTTTTTTGAACTGAATTTTGTCTTATGCATTTCTTTGCAGACAGAGGAGGAAGGTAACATCCAACTGGTTGATCTGTCCTTTGTGATTTCCAATCCCCCTCCATGTTTGATGTCCAGTCCATTTATCCTAGCCTCATTTCTGAGAGGGGCTGATATTATCTTGACTTCCTCTCAGGAGGCTGATGATGGTGAGAGATATGAAGAACAAGTAGTATTTCAACCAGAAAATTGCCAAAAGTATTTGGGAATTTTGGAAGCTCTTCTCACAGTGCTTGTGAAAGGTATGTCTTAGAACAGCTTCGGCCACTCATAATGTGTAGCAGTTGCAGTATTAAGTGAAGGGCTAAATTGATTAAGGTTAGCGGCCACTGACTCAGGTTTGCCAAGGTCTCCGCGCTTAAGGTAAATTCAACGGAGAAAAAACTTTGCGATTACATTCTAACAGGCGCGGGCCCGAGTTAAAAATCGTCCTAACTTTTGAAATAGGCTACAGAACAGTAGCCCTTTGAATTATTGCTAATTTCTTTCTGGCCACAGAATTGAGGAAGATGTTTTTTTTAAAACAGTTTGAAACTGCCCTACGCACTTTGAAGTAAAACTGATTTTAACTCTCACTTAGGTGTTGTAACAGAAGAGCAGGGAAAATGCGTTTCCCAGCTTCTTGCTACAGAAGTAGTCTCTCTACAAGAACTGGTACGTGATTTTCATCCCAAGACCTCACCCAAAATAATCAGATATGCAGTTTACAAAGCTTTCGATAATTTACAACTTCTAATACTCTGGCGCTATCGATTCAGTCAGTGTAGCGTTGTCTAGTCAAAAGTTTTTTTTGTATTTAACGGAAGCTTTCAGTTTTCAGACTTTCAGTCTCAGGCATCTTTTTTATGTGAAAATGAGTTTTGACGATATGTATTTTTATACAGAGACAACCACCTTAAAATAATTTTACATTGCTTTGCCAAAAGGAAACCCGTTTTTATAATCTACGAAGCCGCGTACGGAAAAAGGGGTGTGTATGGAGATAGTTTTTTTGATTAATTGAACAACTGGAAAACCACTTGAAAGCTGTCGAATGTAACCAAATAGTTGTTATCAGTCAACTGAAAAAATAACTTTCTTTCAATTCTGTTTGTTTTGTGTTTTAGTTTTACACGCAGATGGGCTGCATATGCTCGCCATGGAAAAGCCTAGACCCATGCGAAAAGCCTTTGTCGGAATTATGGAAAAATCCCTCAAGGACAAGAAATTTCCTGAAAAGCCTGGGACTTCAAGAGATTTACCAAGGAAACCAAGTGGTTGTTATCTGCCCCCAGAGCTGCCAGTTACTGAACATTTTAGCGTTATTTTTCGGAAACATCGACTAAGAAATGATACCGCGCCGTGATAGGTTACAGTCTCTCTTTCCACATGTACTCGCTCAGTACTGAAGCATTTTACCGTTCACTGATTCCGATCGTCATTAAACTATGATTTCCGCTTCGCCCTGCGCTTGCAAGAAATCTGTTGCATATATTTCTTCTGAGAAAAACTTTCTCACTTGCCAAGAGTTAGGTTCCGATCGCTCAATATTTATTATAGTAGTTGCACTAATCTGTTTTTAAGTCTGTGTTTTTTATTTAATTATCATTTATACACGGTAAAAAAATTTATGTGGATATTCCGTCTCCATGGTGAACATAACATGCCTTTTATCTTGGCTTCAAAAAATTTCATAACATTGCCGTGGCCTTGGAGAAAGTGTCTAAGAATTTATATTCCCTGCCCATCTTTATATATATTTCAGTGGAGAGGGAGCTTGTTTGCAGATCAAGGCTGATTAACTTTTTGCTTTTTCGAGAAAAGTCTTCTATTCGGCACCAATCACTTGTGAAACAGAATGTCGTGTCTTAGTTCCCAGAATACGTCCAATATAATCTGATTTTTTTGTTTTCGTATTTTTGTGCGTCAAAATATTACGTGCGACGAAAATATCTTCAATTTTCAATTTCAATTCCGAGCAATTTGAATATTTACTTTAATATGACCTGATATAATGTCAAGATAAACATGACAGTGTTGATAATGGACTAGAAATGTCGTGTTATTTTATTGTTGACGTTCTGTGTTTCTTGGCAAACCAGGCCTGTATCGAGGCAGATGTATTTTTATAATAAAAAATAACAGTCAGACGCGAGCTCATTATTATTTATGCCATTCATTTAAACGCTGGATCAATTTTATGCCCGACTAAATTTTGCGTCCGGTGTTGTTGCTCGGTACCGCATTCAGGGAGGAAAAAAAACGGTAAAAGAAAAATGAAACTTTTACAGCTTGGAAATAAGATGTAACTGTGTTTTAAACATGGCGGACATGGTCGATAGAGAAACCGGAGGTTACGAAGCAGAATTTCTGATACCGGTTCCTGAAGAATACGAATGTCCTATTTGTCAGCTAGCATTTCGCGATCCAGTTCAAATCGAGGATTGTGGCCATCGATTTTGTCAATCATGTCTACAAGAGTTAAAACGAAGGTGAGCTGCCGTTTTTCAGAAAATCCTCTGCCGCGGTTGATAGGTGCACGAAGGAAACTTGAAGAAAATGATATTTAAAGTGACTGGAGGCTGGTTTGATATCATCAGTTATTTTCAATCGTTTCGGTTCGAGGGATACTGATTTTACTTTTTCCTGAATTTCTAACGATGGCATAGAAATTTCTGTCTATGATGATAAAATTTCATTTGTTTGGTAGTTGTCCGAAAAAAGTAAAAACCTTGTGTGTTGCGTTCTAGTGAATTCGAGGGCCTAGAGTATCAGAATAATTTTTTCCCCATTGATAAAACTGCAGGCAAGGAAGCCCATGTTTATGCCCTCTGGATAGAAAACCAATTTCATCTTCCAAGGTAATTTAAATAACTTTTGTATTTTCGTAAATTTGTATATTGTGTTCACTTACTTCGTTACCATGTGGTTTCGTTGTAAATATCGCTGTGGTTGCGTTCATAATAATTATGTACATCTTTTCCATTCAAATGAAATATCGAAATTTGCGTTCGTTAAGAATTTACCCAAGAAGTAGTTGTTTAATCGCTTATTTTCTCTTTGACGTTTTCGGCGAGCGCCTTGTAATGACTAGTGGTCGATACCATTGTCGCGCAGACATAGCCGTCAAACATGCAAACCGCAAATTAAAATTCAGAGTCAGAATAGACAATGCATATATTTCGACTTGTTGTTCCAAATTCAAGTAAAGTTAACGAGAGTTGTATATAAGTACTTGAGTTTTATAGCTGCAATGTTAAAAAGGCAAAAGGCTGTTTGCGTCTCATTATCCTTTTAAATTCTTGAAACCATTATCGCAAGTGTCCCCGTGTACTCGTCGTACAAAAACATTTCAATGCCATTTGCCATTGACAACAGCGAAAGCGTTGACAAAAACGGACGCGACAAGCGCTTGATTGTACTAGAAGTGTTTTTGTTACATACTGAGTCATAAAGTCTTTGTAAAATGCGGGTCAAAGTCTTGTTTGTGGTTTGAAGGAAGGCCATTCCCTTGCTATAATTCATTTCTCTTGTGCACACAGAAAGAACACCGGCTATTACATTTGCTTGTATGAAATAATTTTAGCTCACATCGGAGACATCGACGACTATTTTACCCTTTTTTTTCTTTCTTTCTTGTCAGATCTTTGTCGATAAGGCAGCAAAGCGAGCCGTTTTATCACTCGGAGTGAAATGTGCTAATTGGAAAAGAAAATGTGATTGGACTGGAGATCTTATTTATGTTGAGGTAAGATTAGAGAACATTTAAAATATCTTCGCTTGCTTTGTTTTTGTCTTGTTTTATTGTTGTTATTGACTATTTGAACCTTCTCACTATCGAACAGCCTAATTTCCCCATAAGCTACATTTGCATCGTTGACTTTGAGAGAAAGTATTTCCACGAAGACTTTGAAGTATGGCGATAGATTATTTGTTACACAATCGCATGCGAATATAAATTTTCAGTTCTTCAACCAGCTCTCATCAACCCAGCTGCATGTCTCTGTTTCCAGATCACGTGTCTCAGCATTTGAGTGCTTCCTTTTACAGATGTCAACTTTCCTCTTTTTTAATTGTTTCGCATTGCTGTTCGAAAGAAATAAAAAAAAGCGATGCTACAAATTGCCTTTCTTTGAGCAGGATTAGATGGCGGGGATTTAATTATTATGAGATGTTTTCCGGCGTCGGTAAACATTATTTCTAAAGATGTACTATTTTAATGCGAGCGGTTTATTGTTTTCATTTAGAAATGTAATTATTATTTTAATCCTAGGATGACTGTAACATCGGATGAAATCTAGCTTTCTCTCTTTCTGGTAAAATTTGGCAATATGAATATCCCACCCAACTACGAATTTACCTCTGCAATAGATTACATCTAAAGGAAACACTGTTTACTCTTTGGAAAGTGTAATTTTCATTTGACATGTCTCTTCCAAGAATCGGTCGTCCTTTTTACTAATTATCATTTTTCAGTGCAAAGCAAACACGACAGAAAATGAATTTATAACAAAAGAGTTCTCATACTTCTCCATATACGAGTCATCTCAACAATAAATAAGCTCAAGAACTACTCCAAAAACGAGCTCAGGTATTGCAATTTCTCCACACGATTTCCTTTGTTTAAATTGTGGTTTAGATTGGGTGTTTTGATATATCGGCTCATGAATGGTACGACCATCTGGTCAGAGTATTAACACATTTGGTGTAGTCTTCGAATTATCCTTATATGTTCTGCTTCATGAAAGGCGTCACACAGTAAATATTTTATATCGGACGCGTGTTTAAAATCGAGCCTCGTGATTTCAGCGTGGAGTTTTTATTTTAAGTATCAGTAAATGAAAAGGCATGTGTTTCTCTCTGCTTTTCAGTTTATTGCGAGTATTCTCACATTAATCGTCATCATTTGAAATTTGCGCAATTTATCGCACAACATATGTCTCTGAGCAGTACCGAGAGATCTGACACCGTAAACACTTTCATCACTCAAAGAATATTTCTCAGGCTTTAAAGCATGAGGTCGTTTTGTAATGCCAACATCTTTTCGTGCTTCAGTACTCTTTGTTACCGACAGCTGAATCTTCTTTTTCGTTGACTGTCGATTGATAGTATTTTCGAGTAACTGGCCAGTCCTTGTAAAAGCTCCTTTAACAATGCTTCATTTGCACCACGAGCAAATATTGGTAAGTCCGATCCCCTTCAAGCACTTTACCTTTTTTTAATTCATGTTAACAAATTCTAAATCCCAGACAAAACATATCTGATTTTTTTTTTATTTAAACGTTAGTTTTAAAATAACTGTAATTTCTTGTCCGAACAATTTTTAATTTGAACGATGGAGCCTTAATTTAGCTGAAAATTTCGTTGTCAGATTAACAAAATGTCCGTCGTAATTTTCTGGAAAGACAAACCAAAACTGTTTTTAAACCTTGCTTCCTCCAAGGCCTTTGATGACTGATTTTAGATCTGTTTATTGTGCGGATCAATTTATGTTTCATGATTCTTATTTGAAATAGGATTTGTTTTTTCACTTATTGCGATCAGCTTTCTGCACAGGAAACAGCAGCAGCAGCAACGACAAACTACTAATTAAGCTTTGCTCTGTTGGTAACAGCGTCCAGCTGGTATCTGAGAAGTCTAGGCCTAAGTTTTCAAACTTTGCGTCATTTGCAATTTACATACGATTTCAATCAGCTCTACTGACCCACTGACTCACCAAATGCCCGGCCAACGTACCTGACCAACCGACCGAATTTAGAATAAATAGAATTCCGTGAATATTTTCTTGCAGGAGCACATGAAAAACTGTGCGTACGAAGATGTCCATTGTACAAACGTGGAATGTAATGAACTCATGCCTCGCCGAACGCTTCAGTATCATCTGGTGTCAAAGTGCCGTTGGAGGGTGGTGTCGTGCCAGTTTTGTTCAGAGATGTATACCTACAAGGATAGTAAGGTAGGTATGACTTGTCGCTTTTTTGTTGAAACGTTCACACGCATGCGCCATTCTACGCGTGCCATGAACTCGAAACCTGTATCAACAATAGTAGGGTTTGCGCAGACAATATAGCCTGAGCTCTACTGATGGAGATGTGCTTGCCACTTGGCATCATTTCCTTGTCTGGTTTTACAAAAACTACTCACTAATTTTCTTCCTCCTGTATAGTCGCTTTGGCTCCTGTTTTGAGCCAGATTTGTCCAATTTTAAGAGTCATGTAATTCACTTTGGAATATGAGAGGTTCACAGCTTGGGTGAGGTCGCTTCCTTAGCAAGACATTTGCTAGACAGTGGCTCTTTCATTATAGTTTCATAAATGGTGGAAAGGGGTTTTACAGCACGAAACTGTTAGGGCGTGACTTTGAGCCTAGGCACACTTAAAAAACACTGAAAGAATGTTGTGTTGCTTGATCACGATGTAAAACGAAGAATCGAGGAATTTTTTTCATTTGAGACCCGAACTGATTGCGGAGCATTGCTAATGTAAAGTTCTAAAACCAACCTGTGGCAGGCTTTCAGTGGGAAGAGACGATTGCGAAAAGGGTTGTGGGAAATAAGCTGAGCATTTGAGGAAGAAGCAAAGTAGATCTTCTTCCCTCACTGGCTTTGCTTTTCTTTCACCTGCTTTTTCATCGTCTTCTTGGACGCAATCAGAGCCTGGAACAAGCTAGTAGAAACAGAGAGAAAAGTTGTTTAGAAAACGTCATTTTTCTCTCTTACTTTCTATTTCCGGAAAATAATAGATTCACATGAAAGTATGCAAGCGAATCCCTTTGGAGTGCGTCAACAAGTGTGGAACTAAAGAGATTCCTCGAGAGGAAGTGAGTTGCAGCAAATATTGTGGAAGGCAAGATGAATGAATGGAATAATTTTCATAATTAGTTTGAGACCATCTAGTTTCTGAAATATGGAATTTTGTGGAGGACCTTAAGGAATTATACATCTCTTTCCAGAGTATTCAATCTACATGCTAATTCAGAATTGTTCGTCAGGGAGACCATGAAGCTATTCACCTGGTTATGGGCAGAAAACAGTACAGAAAATTGTGTGTGGATGTCAAATTCGTCTCCCCAATCCGAAGCTGGGATTGGCCCGACAAGTCCGAACGACTAATGTTTAGCCTGTATAACAATCGTTGAGGAAGGGGAAAGGGGAGGGCTGGGTCTGAAAGTTGAGTTTTGGCTCAGTCCTTTGAGGGAGGGGGAAGGGAAGGAGGAAGGGGGGAGGAGAGGGTGTATTTCAACGTTTAATTAATCGTGCGAAGATCGAAACATAGGCTCTAGCTCTACTGAGGAGTTCCATAAATCATCAACACTTTTTATGTCATGGGGTAAATAAGTTATGTCGTTTTTTGGTTAGCGTTTATTCAAGGGACAGCGTCCTTGAATTCCTAGGTGGAACGAAACAGTGACTTTAGTAACCATCGCCGTGGAAAAGAATTATCTGAAGTTTGACTTGTCGCCTCTTTTATATCCTATAGATGTCTTTTCATTTGACTGAGTGTCCGCTGGCAATCCATCCATGTCCTTATCAAGACATTGGTTGCGTATTTAAGGTTGGTGTTCTTTGGTAGTATGGTTTTGTTTCTTTTGTTTTTTTTTTTTTGACATTCAGTAACGTGTTATGTAATAGTAAATTAGCTGCATTCAGTAACGTGTGCGGCAGACGTCGAGAAGTATTGTAGAATCCAACTTGAAGAGGCACATTTCTCCTACGCAAACTTAAACAAAACCATCAATCCTGAGCTAGACTGAAAAATCTGGCCTTATACTCTATGTACTTGGCGCTAAGACGATAGCCTGCAAGTAACCCCTCATTATTGGTGCTGCAGCTGCAGGAAGCGCGTTTCTTCGCCCGCGAGAAGATTGGAGACGAGTCGGGGGGAGGTTTGCCGGAGGGTCTGGCACTAATAATCAGTTTTAGACACCTTACTCAAACCTATCGTCGGCTCACGTTCCTCAAGGCTCCATACTCAGTTCCTGCGGGCGAAGAAACGCTAGACCCGAAGCACTTATAATAACTACCTGCTTGCAGGCTTACCAAGAGCCCATTACTTGGGCTCCTGAGGCTATCAAGACGATGGGTGAAGGTGAAGACCAGAGTATGATCACAACCTACTTGGGGAAGGGGCGCGGTCGAGCGGTTTACGGCACTAAATTTGAAATCTAAATGTCCCAGGTCAAAATCAGCGCTACTCTGCGACCCAATTCTTTGCACGATTTTCTCAAGTTCAGCTCCTCCTGTGCGTTACGCAAAGAGCCAACTGGTTTACCCCTGGCCCGATCAGATATTGAACAATTCCGTTCTTCTTACTGCTTTTGGTAATGTGCCTTGAGGGGCTTCTACAACCATCAGCGTAGAAATTATTGATAAATCGGTGAAAATTTTATTATTTCTCATGTGATTTGGTCTTAGTTATTAGTTTATCATTTTAACTTGACCTTTCTTAATCAACTTATTGTTTATCTGTCCGTTCTTTCAGGGAAAACGCGACATTCTTGAAGACCATTCTAAGACTGCGGTTCACACACATCTGAGCTTAGCTCTTCTTAAAATTCGTGAAAATGAGAGCCGAAGTACTTGTACAAACGGCGTCTTCATCTGGAAAATCAGCAATTATAAACAAAAGTACGAACAGGCTGTTGCTTCACCTGAAGACCTGGCTATCTTCAGCCCACCATTTTACTCATGCCAATACGGATACAAACTGAGATTAAAAGCCTATCTCCAAGGCCGTGATCGCGGCAAATCAACGCATTTATCATTGTACATTATCATAATGAAGGGAGATTATGATGCGTTACTTGAGTGGCCCTTTAAGCAGAAGATAACTTTTTATCTCATCGATCAAGGCGAGCAGAAAGCGCATCGTACACATCAGCTCAGCCCGAATCGATCACTACCTAACATTAAAGTTGTGTTTAATCGACCTACTATGAAAGAAAACCTCGGCATTGGTAATCCGTGTTTTGTACCACACGAAATGCTTGAGTCTGGCGAGTTTATCAAGGACGATGCTATCTTTATCAAAGCAGTTGTTGAGCCATCAAAAGCAACTACTTAACTTGTTTAATTTAGGTAAAAACTTGGGGTTAACGTAACTTAATCCTAATTAATCCTTGCTCTTTTTTCACTGTGTAGCCACAATTGGCAAGATTACATATAAACTGAAAAAGTACAATCTTGGAAAAAGTGTTGTAACACGTTCCTCAACTTAGAGTTCAAGTTCACCCACCCGTTCTCAATACACCTCGCAGAGTTGATTTGGGCCAGCGAGGCTTTTACGTAAATGATGTTTTACAGAAAGCGAGTGTAAGGAAGGACAAATGGGGGCGGATCCTGTGCAACAAAATTCTTGTCAGTGAAAATTACTAATAACATGCATATTTCTCTGTAATGTGGTAAAGCTACTGAAATTAATGAAAACAAATTCCGACGAAATCAAAACAAATTTGCTTATGAGACGATCACCCTGGATGAAAAAGCTCACTACTGCGGCGCCGATGAGCTTCAGGTTAACTACTCCATAAATCCAACGTTTGTGAAAAATAAATAAAGAGAGCAAGAAAGAAATAGTGGTGTTATTGCCGGTCCGGTGGGGAAACTGTCGGCATTCATGTAGGAATTCTACATTTAACATTAGAGATTGCATGTAGTGATAAGGAGTTGAGCCGTGCCGGCTTACTTCAGAAACTAATTTTTTAGAATACAATTACATGGTCTGCTAACTTTTTGTGGTATTGGAGAAGATCGTTATCACTTCAACCAAAGATATTCCACTTATTGTTTATAAGCAATGCTTTAAAATTGAAAAATACAATACTTATTTCGTTGATTTGGGCTGAATTTCTGGAAACGTTACTAATGATGACAGAAAAAATAAGCTGTAATCAAACGAACGGTCCATTTCCCCGGAGGGTGTTAATACATGAAGCGTGACGCTACGTGTCCAAATAATTACTATGCACATTTATTTTTTCAAGTTTTTCTGCGTTTGTTTTACGATGTGAAGCGAATGGCCGCAGATACATGTATATGGCTGTTTTATCAACTTATATTTGGGCAGTAACGCTGTTCTCGGTCACTGGAGCTTGGGTAAGGATTTTTTAACATCTTCAAGTTATCTCTGATGAAAATAACGAATCTAAGCATCTATCTTATACGTATATGTTCAGCATGTTTTGTCTCGTTGGCGCTCAGACGCCATGTTAATTTATTAGGTTCAAATTAAAAACCTAGTGCGCAAAAAGTGCGTTTTGACCTAGCTTACCACAAGTTAAGTCGAACTTTCCGCGAAAACAATCGTTCAATTTTGCGGTTTTGCAGGATAGCTGAAGATTGGTTAAATAATTTTATCATGACTTGTGCTATGTTTTGTTTAAAAATAAAGCATTTCTAAGTTGTTTTGAACCTAGTCAATAGGATTTTTTCAAAATCATAATGGCTTTGAAGACGATCATGTGTTGAATAACATTTAAGATTGCATGATACCGTACAAAGTTTCAAATGTGCCTATGGCAAATGTGCCTATGCGGCTCTACAATTCCCGTTGCAAGTCGTTGCCCTAAGGGATCTTCGTGCTTTGAAAATATGCACTCCTAATCTTTCAAACTTCGATATCATCTCTGTCTGGTGTGAAATAGCGAGAAATTTGAGAAATTTGAACATTAATGCGTAGTATTAACTGATTTCCTTAAGTTAAGAGAGGAAACCCAGAAAATCACACATTGATCGACCTCAGTTTTAATGTGAATTCAGTTGTTGATCTCCTCATCGTATTCTCTCCTTCTTTTACCATACAGGTGGATGGTTCCTATTACTGCAGAAGTGACTGGTAAGTTTTCATCGTGTTTCAAAATCAATCCAGGATTGCCTCGCTTTACACCGTCATTAGTTTGGAAAGACAAACCCCCCACACAGCCAATTAGATGCAAATTAAAACTAAATTCAATCGCGACTTCGACACTTACCGTTTTTCCAACCCTTCAGCCTTAAGTCTTGCTCATACTTTACAAGTTCCACTTTTTTTCCCCAGAGATGTTTACCTTTCCATCTGACGCCTGACCATCGTGAATTTTGCTTCTTTTCTACTTTTTAACAACTGAACGCTCAATCGCAATGCACTGTACACATGTCTAGTTGTAACTTATGTAACACGTAGTCAACAGATCTACTGTCCTCCATAAGGTGGGCCAGAATTATCGAGGCATACCGTGAGAAGCAATAGGGAATTGGTTTGGTTTATGACAATGTTGAAGAAACCAAAAGTAGTTTTCATTGAAAGTAAACTCAACCTGTGTTCAACTTGATGGATAGGTGAAGTTATCAGAACCTCCTTGACTGAAGTAGAAAATTTGGAAGGTTGACATCCCAACATGTAATGAGTTCTGTTGACTTCTACCTTCTTTTTTGTACTCATGATGTATTCTCTCTTTAACTTTTGGTGACAAATTTGATTTGACATGTTCAACATGATTACTGATTCAACATGGAATATCAAGCTAGGCTGATCATAGTAAATAATAGTTAAGTTTATTTGTTTCATGTAGGTGTAATTATAACGAATATTGCTGTGGTGATGATATATGCTGTGACTATCTCACTGGCTACTGGTATATTTGGTAAGTTTTCAGCCCCATTTCAGGACTGAATCAATTTTCATTACCTTCTTTAACCATCAGTGGCCATAAATCTTAATTCAGGGAGTAGGGCTAAGGATACTTGATAAATTTCTATGTAGGTGGGGGTAGGGACTGTAATTGTAGTAATCATAGGCTTAAGTTATTTGGAAAGGTTACAAGTGATTTGGAATGCAACTGATGTTGTAAAGAAGTACAAATCAATTAATTATTTCAAAACTAAGAAAAATTGCTCAACAAATAGGCCCAGTGCTTTATTCCAAATTCCAAAAAAGAAAAAAAGAAAAATACACTCAGTCACCTTTAAAAATAATGCTAACATATTTTCAACTTTTTACTCTCAATTTAATCTTTGTGCAGTGTTCCAGATGGTTTGACATGCTCTCAGCCAAATAGTTTATAAAAATATTTGCTTGTCTTAATATTAAGAGCAAAATCTTCTAATTTTCAGGCTTATGACAGGACTTCTGCTGTCTACTCTGATGTTAGTATGCTGCTGGTTGCGTTACCACAGATACCACTCCAGAGAATCTATTGAGTCAGCAAAATTAGGCTACGTTCCTGTACCTGGGGCTGTGATGACATATGGGGATGAGTATTTCATTCACCAACAGCC